AGCCATCCCAAGAGTTGCGCAACTCTGGGCGTTTGCAAAAGCCACATATGGAAGGATTTGGGCAGGACGCTGCGGAAGGCCACACCCCGGGAGGACGGCGCAGGCGACGGGGCTTGGGGAGGTGAGAGAGGGAACGAGTGGAAGAAGGAGGCAGGGCATGCGTGAGTGTGGTGCGGGTCCCGCCTGGTGGTTAGCTCCAGTCCCCGGGCCCCGCGTCGGAGTCGGGGACCCTTTCGCTGACCAGCAGGCGACATACTTTGAACCCGCTCCCTAAGACTGGCCCCTCCTCTCCGCTCCGCCCCCAGCGGCCGGTGCGCGCAGGCGCAGGGGGCGTGGCCTGGCCGAGCGGGGCCACGTGTGATCGCCGCCAGCCTCTTGCTATGGGTCGGGCGCGCTACCTCGTGTACTTCCAGTATGTGGGCACAGACTTCAAGTATGTTTCCCAGCCACGCCCCTTCCCACCCGTCCCGCCTCTTGGGGTCGCGGGAGGGACGCGACCCAGCCGGGGAGCCAGTGTGGCGGGCGGGATGTCCGGGCGGGGTGCCTCTCGGTCGGGGACAGGAAACGCTTTGTCTGGCCTGGGGGTGGAGGCGAGGGCCTCTGTGGACGCTGCCCAGTGACTCCACCCGCCTCTGCCTGCAGCGGGGTCGCAGCCGTCAAGGGCGCCCAGCGGGCCGTCGGGGTGCAGAACTACCTGGAGGTGAGGAATCCTGCGGGAAGGAACGCTCGCGCAGGGGGGGTGGGGCGCTTCCTCCCATCTCCACCCTTCCACCTGACTCTTGCAGGAGGCCGCAGAGCGGCTGAACTCGGTGGAGCCGGTCAGGTTCATCCTCTCCAGTCGCACGGATGCAGGGGTTCATGCGCTGAGCAACGCGGCACACCTCGACGTTCAGCGTCGCCTGGACAAGCCGCCCTTCTCCCCCGAGACCTTGGCCAGAGTTCTCAACACCCACCTGAGGCACCCAGCCATCAGGTGAGCTGGGCGACCTGAGCACAGCCCGGGGCTCTTTTCTCTCTTGGCCCTGTCCACAGCAGCGGTAGACTGGAGAGCCAGAAAGTTTGTCTCTGTGGAACTTGGAGATGAGAGCTCCAGGTACCAAAATGACACCTCATTCCCCCCTGAACCCGACCTGTGGCCACAGGGTCCTGCAAGCCTTCCGAGTGCCCAGCGATTTCCACGCTCGCTATGCAGCCACCTCCAGGATATACCTGTACCGCCTGGTGACAGGCTGCAACGGGCCTCACCAGCTGCCAGTGTTTGAACGGAACCTGTGCTGGGCTCTACGGGCAGGGTGAGTGTGGGAGTGAGAGACAGGAAGGGACAGGCACATAGGCCTGCCTAGCTGGACCTTCTCCTGATAGCCTCCTGGCTCTCTCCAGCAACCTGGATGTGGCTGCCATGCAGGAGGCTGCCCAGCACCTCCTTGGGACACACGACTTCAGCGCCTTCCAGTCAGCTGGCAGCCCAACCCCAAGCTCCATTCGCACACTGCACCACATCTCAGTGTCCCCTGGCGTAGCCAGCCCCTTTGTCCTCTTCCAGGAGAGCAGGTAAGGAAGGATGGCCTTGTCCTGTGGTCCTGCCCCAGGGCATCCATGTTGGTCTAGTGGCCACAAAGGCAGGTGTGGACTGGGTGTGCTGGGCATCCATGGAGCCTGGCCAGCTGGAGGGTGTGAGCTAGACACCCGAGCTTGTAGTTGTGCCCTTCTCCCAGGCTGGGTCCCTGCCAGGCTAGGGAATAGAGGACAGAATGCTGCCTTTCTCCAAGGACCCCTGCCCTGCCCAGAGCTCTGCCTGGTGGATGGGTTTGGCAGCTAGTGAAAAGGTTTCATTGCCACTAGTGGTTCCGGCCCAGCCTGGCTGAAGATGAGTTCCACTGCCCCAGCATTGCCCAGTGGGCTTCCTGCCAAGTGGCAGCTGCTGACCCAGAGCCTCCCCAGTTGGGGCCAACCCCAAGGGAAGAGAGACTGCTGAGTGGTCAGGCTGACTGCACCCCCTCCCTCAGCACCCAGCTTTCTGGCATCTTCACATGGCAAGCCTAGAGCTTCCTGCTATTTACCTCAAGGGCTGTAGTCATTGTCTGCTTTGGATCCCCTCCCAATGGCCACTCTTGGGTTCAGGTGTCTGGTCATGAGGGCCTGTGAATGAGGCTTAGCCTTCTTTGTCTGGAGGCCGCATGGCAGTTAGGATGGCTGGGGCTGGCCAATGCCTAGATGTCACAAGTGTCTGTGTCCCTAGGAGGCTACAATTCTGGACCCTGGAGTTTGAGAGCCAGTCTTTCCTGTACCGACAGGTGGGCTGTCCTGGACCTTCTTGGGGGTGGTCATAAGCAGGCCCCTATGGCAGCCTTGCCATGGTTACAGGTTCGGAGGATGACAGCTGTGCTGGTTGCTGTGGGGCTCGGGGCTTTGAAGCCAGCCCAGGTGAAGGAGATTCTGGAAAGCAGAGACCCTCTGGGCAAGCACCAGGCTCGTATTGCCCCAGCTCGGGGCTTGTTCCTGAAGTCAGTGATCTATGGAGGCCTTGGGCATGGGCACTCTGGTAAGAGGTGACTGGTAAGGAGTTCACGCTGTGCACCCCACCTATTCCTCTCCCCAAGGCTGGATTCTCGCTGCGGGTGGGAGTTCTTGGTGGCAGTCAAAGCCCTCCCGTTGTCCTGGCAGATGAGAATCCAGGCACCCAGTGGGATGGGCAAGGAATGTCCTGGAGTGAGCTGCCTCTGTTCCCATGTTCCCCAGAACAAGATCACAGAGGTCAGGGTGGGCTCTGGGTTGACCACTGATGTACATCCAGGCTGATGTAGAGTTGGTCCACAGGTCCTGCCTCCTACACCATACAGCGTCCACAGTGTGGAAACTGCCAGTGACTGGACGTGCCAGCCCAGCTGCTAGACCTCACTATATTCACTGCACTTGGCCACCTGGAGCTGCATCTGACCTGCCTGACCCCCTGCTTCCCTTTGGTCCCACCACCTGGGACACCCTTCTCTGCCCAAGGGGGCTGGCTCAGTAGAGTACACGAGACAAGTGTGACACCTTGGTGGCCTCTGGTCCTGCTGCTCTGGGAGCAACTCCCCTTTTCCTACAGGGACTGGGAGTAAGAATAAAGACAAAGTGGCCCCAGAGGCCTGTTTATTACTTTGCCACAAAGGTGTCCTCAGGCTAGCTTGTCACTGGGTTGTCCTCATCTCTGAACAAAGTCTGGCCCAGCTACAGAGTTGGTTCACACAGACACCACAGTCCTGAGGTCAGGGCCCAGGTTGTGCTAGACATGGTTGCAAGGCAGAGGCACAGACATGGGTGGTGGCATGTCAACTAGGGGTCTGGGGGAGACCCTTCTTGAGCAGTGCGGTAAGGAAGCTCCCCAGCTCCTCATCCTGCAGGGAAGGAGAGAGCACAGTTGTCTCACCCAGCATGTGAGGCCCCATCCTGACAGTGCACACCAGTGATCCCCAGGACCCATACCTGGTAGGTCCAGGAGACCAGCAGCACCTTGGCACCTGGGTCCTCAGAGTGGGCAGCAGCCTGGATAAGGATGGACTCCACAGTCACTGAGCCATCAGGGAGGTGCTGCACACAGTGATCCTTCAGGGTGCTGTGAGAGAGGCCTGCTGTGAGACCCTGCCTTGCCCTGGGGGTCCTGGAGGATGCTGGGTGGACTCCTAGGGAGACCATGCCTCACCCCAGGGTGGGGACAGGGCAGGGTACACACCTCTTGAGGTGGCTGTAGACACGCAAGGCCATTTCCTGCTCCTTGCGTGTGTCCTGCAGATGCACGCGGCAGGTGAAGCGCAGTTGGTGCTCGGCAAGGCCCAGCTCCTTCAGGGCTTGTTCAGAGGACACCAGCCGGAAGTTCTGCAGCAGAGGGCAAGTCAGGGAGAGTGGGGGTGCCACCCACCACCCCCACAGTTCACACACTCACACTGTCCTTCATGATCAGGGTGCCGTGCAAGAGCCGTGGCTTTTTGGCCTCAGGGAGCAGCCCTGTGGGGGAGGGCAGTAAGCAGCCTTGACACAGCCCCTACTCAGCAGCCACCCATCTGCCCAGCACCCCCACCTGCCCTTTGTACCCTGTGCCATCTCCCGTTTCAGCAGCCCTAGGGAGATGCCCACAGGGATGCTGGGATTTGTGGGCAGTGTCACTGTCTCTCCGTTGGCTGGCATGTAGCAGCTGACCCCTAGGGACACAGAGAGCCTCAGTCCAGGCTGGCCAGCCTTGCATACAGCCCAAGCAGACCCTGCCATGCTCCCTTCTTGGCCCCCCAGACACCTACGGAATTCCTGCTCGATCTTCTGCCGCAGGAACTCCATCTTCTTGGCCTCACCATGCACCAGCAGCACACTCTCTGGCTCTGCCTGCCCTACCAGCTGCATGATACCCTTGGCGTCGGCATGGGCACTGAATGACATATACTCCACCTGCATCTTAACCTCCAGCTATGGGGTAGGGATGAAGGGGCACAGTTACCATCAGCAGGGGCTGGCCACCCATACAACCTGGGACGAAGGTGTGGACTCACCACCTGTCGTCCCTCCATTTCCAGCTTACGCTGCCCACTGAGGATCTTGTGGCCCACAGTGCCCTGCACACAGTAGCCAGGCATGATGACCTATGGAATAGGGTCAGGCTCAGCCTTGACACATCAGAGGCTTCCTGGGATGCCATATCACCCCAGCAACTGCTTCCCTCCTGAGCCCTGCTGTAGACCCTGGGGCCAGGCTGAGAGCCCACCATGGTGTATCTGCTTAGGAGACAGAAGGCCTTCCTGCCAGAGAGGTGGGCTGAGTCAGTCTGCTGTCCAGATTAGACACCAGCACCCCGACTAGCAGCAACATCCCCCAGGCCAATATGGGGCCAAGCCTGTGAGCAGTGGAGGGACAGGGTACATTAAGGACCATCCCTCTGCCCTGTACCTGTGGGAAGCTCTCATGCCCACCTCACAGGCCCCCTGGGAGTGGCCCCAAGCCCAGAGCCCTCACCATGTTCTTCTCGTTTCCTGCCCACTTCCGGAAGATCTGCAGGGATTGGCCAGCATGCAGCATCCCTGGTGTGGCAAATACAACCTGCAGAACAGACAGTGGTCAGGGCACAAAACTCGTGCCACATGTGCAGAAGCCACCCTGCCCTGCCTTACCATGGGACCTGGGTTGTCAGCAAATGCCCGGTCAAAGGCCTTGATGTGCTTGAACTCAAACATGTTCCTCTGGACAAAGGTCTTCCGGATCTTCTGGTTGGTCCAGGTGATGAAGAGCTTGTAGTAGTGGTTGGCCTTCTCTGTCAGCCCCGTGGAGAAGTAGATGGGCACCTTTAGGTTCATGCGCTCCCTGAGGGCCCATCAGCCAGGTCAGTGTAGGGTCACAGTGGGGGGAGCTGCCAAGTTGACTTGGGTTGCATAACCCCAATGCACAGCAGTGGGTGGTCTAGGCTGAGTCCCACGAGGGTTGAGCCCCTGATGTCTCAACCATGCCACCAGCACCCTCTGCCTGTGCCCTACAAAACACAGCAAACAGCATCCTGGGGCTCTTCTGGGGAGGCTTGGGGTTGGAACAGTGACCCTGACAATAGCTGACAGTGCTGGCATGACACTGCCTCCGGGCCCATAGGCAGCCTCTTCATGACAGTGAGACTGAGATGCCAGGACTGGCCAGTGCTGCCTCAACTCTTCTGTAGCCCATACCCTGCTCAGCCGTGTGAGTAGCCAGTTTCCATTTATCCTGCACTGCCCACAAGGGGCAGGGCTCTCTAAACAGCCACCCCAGTTGTGCCTACCAGAAGGTCTCCAGCAGGATGCAGAGCTCCTGTGCACGGCCCAGCGCAAACACAGGGATCAGCACCTGAGGGGGACAAGGTAGGCTTAGGAGAGCCCAGCGGGCAGCATTCTGTGCCCACACCACTGCCAAGTAGCATGAGAATCACAACTGATGGTGAAACCAATGGCTGGAGGCAGCCAGTATCCACTGAAGGGCATCCTGAGATGGAAGTCTTGCCTAGGCCCCAGCCCTCACTGCCTACAGTTCTGCTTCAAACCCCATGTGGGGGACACTGGCCATCCAGAGCCACTACCTTCCCGCCACGCTCCACAGTCTCGTGGACTTTCTTCAAGAAGTCTCGTTCCCGGCAGCGCTTGGAGTCACGGATGGTTGTGGCATAGGTGGACTCCGTGATAAGCAGGTTGGGGCGGCACTTATCAATCCAAGCAGCTCTGCAAGAATCAGGTGCAGAACCATGGTGGCCTGTTCCCACATTCACAGCTGCCAGGCTGGAAGCCAGAGAGCAGGCCCAACCCCAGCCATCTTCCTGGCCCCTTCTGCATGAATTCAGCCTGAACCTGTAGCTTCCTGCCTCTGGGCTCCACAGGAAGGGACTGCACACAACACATGGGACCCACGGGAGCCACCAACATGCTGACCACCCCAGTGTGCAGCACTACCACCCCATCACAGGTCTCCGAGTTCTAGGGAGCCTTGGGGTGAGACATACAGGCCTACTTACCCCAAATGCCGGTCTGGAGTCATGTTATAATCACCCTGGCAAAGAAGGTGGCAATAAGGAAGACATACTCCCATGCCTGGCAGCCCCACCCAGCCTGCCACTGACCGTGTAGACCACAGATTCTGAGCCCACTTTAATCTGGAACATGGCAGCTCCCAGCACATGGCCTGCATAGTAGGCCTTGATTTCCAGCTCATCATCCACCTGCAGAGGAGAGGGTGGGCATGGCAAGAAGCAGACAACCATATGAGCATTTCATCAGTTCCTGTTTTTCTCCCATGACACCCAAGTCTTAACCAAAAGTAACCAAAGATGGACCAACATGGAAAAAGCACAAGAGATGACAAAGTGTCAAAAGCTCTGCAAATAGAGTCTCCAGGTCTGGATATCCAAACCTGGTAAATGCAGGATTAGGAATGTGGGTAAAACCCAAAAAACTACAAAAAAGTGAAAATTCTAAAACTCAGTATGGGCTATGGCTATAGCTCAGTGGTACAGCACTTGCCTACCAGACACATGAAGCCCTAGGTTCAATTCCCACTACTGGAAAAAAACAAAAAACAAACAAACAAAAAAAACCCCATATATATATATATATATATATATGTATGTATATACACACACATATATATATGTGTGTACACACACACACACACATATATCCTCATCAGGTTTGATCTGGGACAGACAACAAACAAATACTTTTTTAAAAAGGAGCTAGGCATGGGGGTATATGCCTATAATCTCAGCAATCAGACTGAGGCAGGAGGAGATTCAAGTTTGAGGCCAGGCTGAGTTACACAGTAGACCCTGTCTCAATAAAACAAAAACTAATTAATTAAAACTAGGAACTACAATTACCCAACATGTGATTTTTTTTGTTTGTTTGTTTGTTTTTGGTACTGGGGATCTAACAGCATTTGCCAGGCAGGTGTTATGCCACTGAGCTACATCCTGGCCCCTCCCAACATGTGAATTTATAACACATTGGGCATAACCAAAACAAAGAACACTATTGAGACCCTGAAATGGGAAGGCCAGAAAGGAAGCCAGACAGAATGAGAGAGGTCTGGGGTAAATGGGTCCACCCTCTTGCCAAGAGCCCAAGGCAAAGGGAGCATAGCTGGAAGGCTTCAAGCCTAGGAGTGAACATAGGTGGAACTGGTGCAGATGCCACCACTCTGCTCCACAGTCCTATAAGAGCAGACACTGGCAGTGTGCGGGGCAGAATAAGCTCTAGCCTGGACTCCACACCTTTTGAAAAATGGCCCTGGAGGAGCTTCAAGGAGGACTAGAAGACCATGGGCAGGAGAGGATGGACAAGGCCTAGGAGGACTGCAGACCTCTCTTTTATTTGGAAAAGATCCATCAGAATATGGGCCTCTTTAGCCAACTCTCGGGGAAAGAAGTCCCAAGCTAGGTGTGGTGGCACACATCTATAATCCTGCATACCTATAATCCTCAG